TTTAAAAGACAACTGGGAAAGTAAGTCATAGCCTACAAGTTATCCTATCACCATAGTGGAATGCTCTGCTGGTAAGGGGAGGATGAACACACTAGAGAAACACCCCTAAACAAACTTCTATGATCCAAGTATTTTACATTTAGTTGAAGTGTGATAGCTAAGAATCTTACAGTCCCATGACCTTTTCAGGATATTGAGTAACTCAAGATGTAAGAACAAGAGAAAGAATCACACCTGATTCAGATATAAATGCCAATATTCAGAGAATGGGAGGTATGGAAGTAGCCAGTGTACAGTTCATTTTCCATAGCATTTTGGAAACTGATTGTTAGCTTTAGGGGATCTTGCTGCTCTAGTTTGGTTTTGGTTAGATCTAAGCTGAGCTGCAAACTGTTGGAATTTTTACAGAGAATCATAGAAAATTAGGGTTGGAAGAGATCTCAGGAGGTCATCTAGTCCAACCCCCTGCTCAAAGCAGGACCAACCCCAGCTAAATCATCCCAGCCAGGGCTTTATCAAGCCTGACCTTAAAAACCTCTAAGGAAGGAGATTCCACCACCTCCCTAGGTAACCCATTCCAGTGCTTCACCATCCTCCTAGTGAAATAGTTTTTCCTAATATCCAACCTAGACCTCCTCCACTGCAACTTGAGACCATTACTCCTTGTTCTGTCATCTGCCACCACTGAGAACAGCCTAGCTCCATCCTCTTTGAAATCCCTCTTCAGGTAGCTGAAGGCTGCTATCAAATCCCCTCTCACTCTTCCCCAGACTGAACAAGCCCAGTTCCCTCAGCCTCTCCTCAGAAATAATGTGCCCCACTCCCCTAATCATTTTGGTTGCCCTCCACTGGACTCTCTCCAATTTGTCCACATCCTTTAGTGGGGGGCCCAAAACTGGACACAATACACCATATGTGGCCTCACCAGTGCCAAAAAGAGGGGAATAATCACTTTCCTTGATCTACTGGCAATGCTCCTACTAATGCAGCCCAATATGCTATTAGCCTTCTTGGCAACAAGGGCACACTGTTGACTCATATCCAACTTCTTGTCCACTGTAATCCCCAGGTCCTTTTCTGCAGAACTGCCGCTTAGCCAGTCGGGCCCCAGCCTGTAGCAGTGCATGGGATTCTTCTATACTAAGTGCAGGACTCTGCACTTGTCCTTGTTGAACCTCATCAGATTTCTTTTGGCCCAATCCTTCAATTTGTCTAGGTCCCTCTGGGCCCTATCCCTACCCTCCAGTATATCTACCTCTCCCCCCAGCTTAGCATCATCTACAAGCTTGCTGAGGGTGCAATCCATACCATCACCCAGATCATTAATGAACAAAACTGGCCCCAGGACCGACCCCTGGGGCACTCTGCTTGATACCAGCTGCCAACTAGACATTGAGCTGTTGATCACTATCTGTTGAGCCCGATGATCTAGCCAGCTTTCTATCCACCGTATAGTCCATTTATCCAATCCAGACTTCTTTAACTTGCTGGCAAGAATATGGTGGGAGACCGTATCAAAAGCTTTGCTGGAGTCAAGGTATCTCATGTCCACCACTTTCCCCATATTGACAGAGCCAGTTATCTCATTGTAGAAGGCAGTCAGGTTGGTAAGGCATAACTTGCCCTTGTGAATCCATGGTAACTGTTCCTAAACTGTTCTTCTCCTTCAAATGCTTCAAAATGTATTTGCTTATTGCAGCAGAGTTATACTTGCTTTCCAGTTAGCACCTTACATGTGTAACTGTGTTGGACTATTTGCATGATTACACTATTGAAGTTCCATGGCTAGATACTGTTTGGAGTAAAACAGGTGTCTGATCCCACAGCTCAGGTACTATGGAACTTATCTTGGAGGAGCTTCCCCACTTGTAGGTTGGGAAATTGATCTATTTGAGAACTGCCATCACATAGCTCTTTGATAAAGATGACAATTGCTGAGGAAACAAGTGTTTTTGCTTTAGCTAGAACAGCAGTGTCAGTCATTGCAATATTATCTGCCATTACTAGAATCACACGGTTTAAAGCTAGATTATCCACCAGATCATCTGGTCTGATCTCCGCTCTATCACAGACCACCACTAAGCACCTGCACACTTAACCCAAAAACTGAATAGTTTGGTCTGATTTACAGCCCTGGGGAGACTAGACTTATGTGCCACAGGCAGGGAACAGGAGGGACAGAGGTACACCAGTGCCCAAGCCCCCCCACAATGCCAGGGAAATGAAGTGAGATATACCCAAATAATCCTGGCAAGTGACCCACTCCCATATGCTGCAGAGGAAGGCAACCTTCTCCTGCCTCCCACGCCAGGTCAGTGCCATTCTAACCTCACATACGGCGATCAGCTAGACCCCGAGAATGTGAGCAAGAATCATCCAGCCAAGCAGAGAGACTGCTCATCAGTGCTACCTCAGAGCCCAGGCCCTCCCCATCAAGCATCTCATCCCCAGTGTCCCCTGGCCATCCCTGAGGCTTCAGAGGAAGCAAATTTAAAAAAAACAAACAAACAAACAAACAAAAAAAAAAACACCCAACACACCCTCTCTAGAATACATTGTGGGGAACTGTGTAGAGGGAGGGAAGAAAAATCCTTTTTGACCCCTGCAGGCAGCCAGCTGAAACCCTGCAGCCAATATTTAAAAAGGGCTCTAGAGGTGATCCCGGCAATTACAGACCGGTAAGTCTAACATCTGTACCGGGCAAATTAGTCGAAACAATAGTTAAGAATAAAATTGTCAGACACATAGAAAAACAAACTGTTGAGCAATAGTCAACATGGTTTCTGTAAAGGGAAATCGTGTCTTACTAATCTATTAGAATTCTTTGAAGGGGTCAACAAACATGTGGACAAGGGGGATCCAGTGGACATAGTGTACTTAGATTTCCAGAAAGCCTTTGACAAGGTCCCTCACCAAAGGCTCTTATGTAAATTAAGCTGCCATGGGATAAAAGGGAAGGTCCTTTCATGGATTGAGAACTGGTTAAAAGACAGGGAACAAAGGGTAGGAATTAATGGTAAATTCTCAGAATGGAGAGGGGTAACTAGTGGTGTTCCCCAAGGGTCAGTCCTTGGACCGATCCTATTCAACTTATTCATAAATGATCTGGAGAAAGGGGTAAACAGTGAGGTGGCAAAGTTTGCAGATGATACTAAACTGCTCAAGATAGTTAAGTCCAAAGCAGACTGTGAAGAACTTCAAAAAGATGTCACAAAACTAAGTGATTGGGCAACAAAATGGCAAATGAAATTTAATGTGGATAAATGTAAAGTAATGCACATTGGAAAAAATAACCCCACCTATACATACAATATGATGGGGTCTAATTTAGCTACAACAAGTCAGGAAAAAGATCTTGGAGTCATCGTGGATAGTTCTCTGAAAATGTCCACGCAGTGTGCAGAGGTGGTCAAAAAAGCAAACAGGATGTTAGGAATCATTAAAAAGGGGATAGAGAATAAGACTGAGAATATATTATTGCCCTTATATAAATCCATGGTACGCCCTCATCTCAAATACTGCGTACAGATGTGGTCTCCTCATCTCAAAAAAGATATACTGGCACTAGAAAAGGTTCAGAAAAGGGCAACAAAAATGATTAAGGGTTTGGAACTGGTCCCATATGAGGAGAGATTAAAGAGGCTAGGACTCTTCAGCTTGGAAAAGAGGAGACTAAGGGGGGATATGATAGAGGTCTATAAAATCATGAGTGATGTGGAGAAAGTGGATAAGGAAAAGTTATTTACTTATTCCCATAATACAAGAACTAGGGGTCATCAAATGAAATTAATAGGCAGCAGGTTTAAAACAAATAAAAGGAAGTTCTTCACGCAGCGCACAGTCAACTTGTGGAACTCCTTACCTGAGGAGGTTGTGAAGGCTAGGACTATAACAGCATTTAAAAGAGAACTGGATACGTTCATGGTGGGTAAGTCCATTAATGGCTATTAGCCAGGATGGGTAAGGAATGGTGTCCCTAGCCTCTGTCTATCAGAGGGTGGAGATGGATGGCAGGAGAGAGGTCACTTAGGGTATGTCTACACTACAGGATTAATCCGAATTTAGATAATTCGAATTTGGGAAACAGGTTGTATAAATTCGATTGTGCGCGGCCACACTAAGCACATTAATTCGGTTTTTAACCACATTAATTCGGTGGTGTGCGGCCACACTACCCCATTACTTTAACCACAGTAATTCGGTGGTGTGCGGCCACACTAACCCTAATTCGAATTAACAAAATCGATTTAGGCGCTACTCCGCTCGTCGAGGTGGAGTACAGAAATCGATTTTAAGTGCCCTTTAATTCGAATTAACTGGCTCTGTAGTGTGGACGGGTGAAGGGTTAATTCGGATTAATGCAGCTAAATCCGAATTAAAGTCGTAGTGTAGACCAGGCCTTGATCATTGCCTGTTAGGTTCACTCCCTCTGGGGCACCTGGCATTGGCCACTGTCGGTAGACAGGATATTGGGCTAGATGGACCTTTGGTCTGACCCGGTACGGCCTCTCATGTTCCTAAACTCATAAGAACATAACATAAAACAAACTGGAAGTGAGCCTAGGGCTGTTGATTCCCCACCCCTCTACCATCACTAGCAAGGTCTGTGACAGGGTTTATGGTCATGGTGGTATAATAAATAAAAAACCACCACACACAAAATTAAAAACCAAACCCAAAAAAAACCCACCACCCCCACACCAAACCTAAATCTCTACCACTGCTGGATAATGGTGGTTTGTATTTCAGTGCTATTTTAGACTGGCAGAGAGTCAGCTAAGAGTAGACGATTCCACCATGTGTTCAGAAGTGATTTATTTAGTAGCCACAGACACCAATAGCTCAAGTTAGTTACAGAACTGCTTTGAATGCATTTGTTTCCCAAGGTGAAGCAAGAGGCTTGCGCAAGCAGACAGCAGTGTAGTGTAGCTACAGTCCCTGAACGGATTCTCTGCAGCAAGTTCTGATCTGGTGTGGAGATGGGAATTCCTCAGGCCCTCTCATAGACTAGTGCAGGTGACATTGTTCATGGTGCATTCCTAGGGCGGGAGAAAATAAAATTGATTGAAACTTCTGAAATATCACACCAGAATTTTATGAGTCTAATTAGGGCAAGGATGTTGGTCATTTCTCAGAGTCAAAGGTGTTTATTTAGTGCCCATCACTATGATATTCATGTCATCAGAAAGAGAAACCAGACATTTCTTGCCTCCAGGAATTCTTTAGTGCTAGCTGATCACTAAATATACTCTACTTCTCTGCCTAGTGCACTTGAATGGCAGGGCTCTCATCTTCCCCTACCTTTCTGTTCATCACTTAGCACAGAGGTGGGCAAACTACAGGACCCTCCTGCCTGGCCCCTGAGCTCCTGTCGCGGGAGGCTAGCCCCCAGCCCTTCCCCTGCTGTGCTCCCTCCCCCGCAGCCTCAGCTTGCTTGCTCCGCCGTCAGCGCAATGCTCTGGGCTGCAGGGCTGCAAGCTCCTGGGACAGCGCAGCTGCAGTGCCGGGGCCTGACCTGGTGCTGTGGCATGGCTGGCTCCAGCCAGGCAGTGTGGCTGTCGCGCTGCCAGCCACTGGTACTCCAGGCAGCGTGGTAAGTGGGCAGGGAGCGGGGGGGAGGGGTTGGATAGAGGGCAGGGGAGTTTGGGGTGGTGGTCAGGGCAGTCAGAGGGCAGGGAACAGGGGGGGTTGAATGGGGCAGAGGTCCTGAGGGGGGCAGGAATGAGGAATGAGACCAGGGGTTGGATGGGGGTGGCGAGGGGCAGACAGAGGCGGGGATTCCGGGGGCTCTCAGGGGACAGGAGTCCCAGGAGGCCATCAGGGGGTGAGAAGCAGGAGGGGTCGGATAGGGGGCAAGGGCCAGGCCACACCTGGCCTGACTGTTTGGGGAGGAACAGCCTCCCCTAACTGGCCCTCCATACAATTTCAGAAACCCAATGCAGCCCTCAGGCCAAAAAGTTTGCCTGCCCCTGACTTAGCAGCTAATACAATGACACAGTCCATAGGTGCTGGAAGTAGGGGTGCTGCTGCATCCCCGGGCTTTAAGTGGTTTCAATTATATATGGGGTTACAGTTTGGTTCAATGGGTCTCAGCACCTGCACTATACAAGTTGTTCCAGGACCCCGATACAGAGCTTGATTTTTGGTCTCTTTAGGGCTTCTCCACCAGTTTTATTTCAAGTGAAACTTCCCTACATTGTATTTTTTACATTCCTCATGTTCCCCATCATAAGTCACAGCAGCATTTAGTCTGTGCTTTTCTATTTCAAAAGAATTTAATGCTCAGATGAGGGGGTTAAAGAAAAAAAAAAAAAAGAATTGAACTAACCACAACCATCTTCCCATCCACCAGCGCTCTCTTTATTGTGGTCTGTTTGCCATCCCACTTCTGCACCTGAGTCAGAGAGCCATTGTCCAAGGTTACAGTGCTCTGTCAAGAGAAGAGAAGCAAATGGACTCTGGGATATTCTGACGGGACACTCAGTCTCTCCTGTTGCAGCTATTCTACTTCAAATAAATATTAATTGGGACAACAGTGAGAGTCTCATTTGGCCAAGTAGTTAAGGCACTCACCTGAGTGGTGGGAGATGCCTGTACAAAGCCCTTCTTCTCAGGCCAGGTGTGTGTGGGGGGGATTTAAACTGAAGTCTCCCACATCCCTAACTCCTGGGCTAAGGAAGGCTGCTGCCACCGCTGCCACTTCCTCCTCCCCAAACCATTCTGGCAATAGGGCAGCTTGGGCACCTAAGCCATCAACTTTGGGAGAGGGGTTCCAGCTGTGGGCTGCAAGCAGGCGATAAGCACCTCCTTGACCCAGACATAGGCACCCAATTCTGTGAGAGGGAGGGACCTTACAACACACCCCTCATCATCATTTCCCATTGGCTAGCTTAGGCCGTTCACTGCCTAGCATGCCAGTTTCTGTGGATCCCATTCTGAGGTGCTGGTCTCTGCTCTCATTATATAGGGAGCCTAGGTACTTAACTCAGGCTTTGTGAATCCCAGGAATTTTCTAGTTGCCTAGACGTTAGACCTGGATCCTCAAAGAGACTTAGATGTTGAAATGCCTTAGAAGAGGGGTGGGATTTAGTTTGTGGGTTCACAGTGGGCACATGATTGCCCTAGAGTCAGCCAGAAGAGCCAGCCATGGGATCCCCCATACTTATGGGGATTGGGGAAAAGGAAGAAAGCCATATCAAGACAAAAATAATCACAAGGCAAGAAAGGGCACAAACCCAGATATCCTTTGCAGGACATCCTGAAGGATTAGCCCTCACCATGGTTTTCCTGTCATCTGCTGTGGTTTCCTCAAACTCTTCCCCCAGCTTGAAGGAGATCTCTGTGTTTTTAAAGGTGCTCTCTGTCTTGATGGTTATTATATCCCCATTGATGCTGATGATCACACTGGACTTGGCCAGGCTGCCAAGTTTCCTAGTAGTAAAACCCACCCCTTGAAAAGAAAAGCACAAGTTAACAGCTTGGATTTTACATGCACATCCAGAAGGGAGACATAGCTCACTGCAACTTGCTGAAGAGGTCTGTGGATGTACTAGACGCTCTCTCACGAACACCTGAATGGGCTCTAACTAGACTACCAAGGAGATAACTGAGATTAGCAGAAATACAGAAAGAGGGGAAATCTATGTGGTAAAAACTGTCGTTGTTATGGTCACTTTGGAAATTGACACAGTCACTAGATTAAAGTGTGCTGGTCACTGCTAGAGCTAAACCCCAGCTACTGAATTTAAATCCTTACCCAAGTCATCAGGGATGTTTGTTCAGGGCAACATACCTGGGTATCAGTCATTCACATAGTTACATTAGGGCCCTCATAACTTTTATTGCATATTAGTAGGCATTAACAGGCATTAACCCACTGGTTCCACAAACAACTCATTCAAAGCACTGATAGTCAAGAAAGCATTATCAGTAGAGGATAGCCCCAGGCAGATTCAAACAGTATCTTCCCCTTATTAGGAAAAGGGAGAGAACATCAACATCTGAATCATTAGCTAGAAAGAAATATTTCTAAAATATAAAGAAAAGCCAGGAACTATGTTCTATTATCCCAAATCCAAATAAGCATCAGCAATCTAAAGTGAAGCAACCATGAGTAGAAAACTAAGTTGAGTAAATAAATGGAATTAAATACATTCTCAGAATCATCTATTAGGAGAGAGATTTCCTACTTGAATTATAGTATACTCCTTACCCAGTTCTTTCATATAGCTGTCAAAGTTCTCACTAGAAATGAGTTTCCAGGTTCCTAAAAATAACTCACACATGATATAGATTGTAGTTGATACTATTACTAACCCCCCAAAAAAATTATTCTCCCTCAAAGACCTGAAGCTATTATAAGCTACCTAACCTCAATAGCTTCCTTTTAAAGATGCCCTGAACATGTGATACTCAACAACATCCAATCAGGAGAAGCAATGCAAAGACACCAATCATTTCCCTTTTATTTCTTTGAGCATAAACTAAAATCCTTACAGCTGGCAGAGTTCACAAGGAAAGTTGTTCAGTAAAGGATGTTAGTCCCAAAGGTAGCTTCTAAATAAAACTGAGTTTTTTCAATAGTGGGACACAGTAAAAAAAAGAAGAATCAGCTTTCCCCAATTAGAGAGGGATCAGCTGTAAAGAGACCTGTCAGTTTGTGTAGATTTAGGAAGTCCCTTCCTGATTTGCCTGTGAGGCCCACACAAGGCTTGATTACTGCTGTGGTGATACTTCCTGACTCCTAGCAAGTAGTTCCCTCTAAACTGATCAAGTTCTGATTGCTCTCAAACCTGGCTCCACCGACATCTTATATGCTCCCTGCCATGAGTACAGTGCTCAAACGGGGGGGGGGGGGGGGGGGGGGGTGATTTACTTCAACTTTTTTGTCAACTTTTCCCCCCACCTAGCTGCAGTGAAGAGGGCTGCTCTGCCATTACCACATATGACCCTCAATACCCGCATCAATTAAGAATTTTCTCAGTCTCTCCAATTCATTCCACCTGCAAGTCCTAGCCACTACTAATGTCCTCCACAGGCCCTGGCAGTCCTGATTTGTCTTCAGCTGGTGTGTCAGAGGGGAAGTGGGGGTGGTTGCTCATTATTCAAAGATTGTTTGGGTTCCTTAAAAGTCAGGTGATAAAGGCTGAGGTAGGAGGTATGTTAGGCAAGGTAGAGAGGTCAGAGCAGAGTGAAATTTTTAGGACAAATAATTTATTTGCCAAAAATGCACTTTTGGTCAACCCCAAACTCTTGGTATTTGCCATGATTTCACTGAATAGTTCTGGCCAAAATAAAATTTTGTGGGGAAGTGAGTTGCCATTCACAAAGCAGTGGTGGGCAAGGAGGGAGGTGGCAGCAACAGCAGCAGGAAACACCTAAGTTAAAGCTTTTAGGCCAGTGATTAGAGCACTCTCCTGGGATGTAGGAGACCCAGCTTCAGTTCTCTGCTCTGCCTGATATGGAGCAGGGACTTGTACTTGGGTCTCTTCCATTACAGGAAAGTGCCCTAACCTCTAGGTTATAGCATAGTCTGGGGTGGGTCTCTCTCAGTGTCTCCTGTTGAAGCTGTTCCACTTTACAGACAATACTCGAATAACCAGTGGACCAGAGAGTGAGAATCTCTCTTTACCTAGCAGTTGGGGCCCTGGGGGGGGGGGGACGGACTTTTTTGATTCACCAATTTTTTTTTGGAATTTACAGTTTAGGTTGAACCAAATTATTTTTTGGGGGGAGGGGGGATGGACAAATCCCTTGGCTGTTGCAAATGGAGACTGGAGTCCCAGTGTGTTCAGAAAGATGACAGGTACTGATGTCTGTGAGGGTGGAGACAGAAATCATGAAGAGGCTGCTGCTACTGTGGTCACATTAGGGGAGGTAGTGGCAGATAGTACTGGGAGCTTAATTATGGGTGTTTGCTGCTGAAACTTGGAGCAACATCAGTGGCAAAACTCCCATTGACTTCAATAGGGACAGAATTTCATCCCCTGCTGTCTTGTCAGTGGGTTGGTAGCCTCTCTGGTCAGGATGGGGAGAGAGTGAGTGAGTGTGTGTGTGAGAGAAGAGGATCTTGGTTCTATTATCTTTTAAAAACAGTTGTCATGTTTATGGGTGTCCTAGGGCGGGATCAAAGGCTGTTCTGGCAACATACAAATGAAAGGTGAAGGATGAGAAGCAACAAAAAGCAAAGGGAACGAGGAGTGGGGTTGGGAACACAGCTTGCTAGTTCTGGCATTCTTTCCTTTTTTCTTAGTCTTTTTAGCAATATTCTCGGTCACCAGGTCTGTGAGCTCTTTCCCAAGAGCTGGGCTGATTTTTTGCAGCAGCTGATTAAAATCACTTCCACGTATTTTATGACTCCTGGATATCCCTGTCCCAATTCACATGTAGGAAGATACATATGGTCATCTCTTGGTAAAGTCCAACATCAGAATGATCTAAGCTGAGTTAACTGGGCTGCTTTGAGAGGCTCTGCAGTTATGGGCTGCTCTGTAGCAAGGCTTATCCCCAAGGGTCCTGAGACCCCAGACACACTGCTCCAGAGCATCCAGCCCATGGGGCTCTTCCCCCACTGCATCCCCTAAATAACCTGCAGGTTGTAGACAAGAAATACAGGCACATTCCCATAAGGAGCCTGCATGGTGGTGCAGCTTCACTGCTCTGGGACCTGAGCTAACTATCATGATTGCAGCTTAAGTAGACGTACCCTGGGGTTTCAGTACAGACAGACCCAGAATTTCACCCTAATGAAATTTTGCTTCTAGATTGATGAGCAACATAGGAATGACCCAGAGATTATTATCCATTAATTTTTGGAGTGTTGAATTGAGATGTGTAATAGATAGGGCCCCACCCCTACCACTTTCATAGCCATGAAAAATGTGTCACAGACCATGAAATAAGCCCCTCCTTATGAAATCTGATCTCCCCTGTGCTGCTGGGAGCACCCCAGCTGGGGGTGCCTAGCTGCAAGTCCTGGCCCAGCCTGGCTTCCTACAGCAGCAGGAAGGTACTTGGAGCCGGGTCTGATCCCTCTCCCCAGGAGCAGCCATGCAGGGGAAAGAGCAAGTCCTGTCCCTCCCCAGCTTGGCCAGGACGAGCAGCTAGGACACCCAGACTATGTGCTCCCAGCAGCATGGGGAGATCAGATCCACCTCCAGGATCATAGTAGATGCAGCTGTTCTCAGGGGGCTCAGCACAAAAGTGAGGGTGGCAATCCTGTGACACCCCCTCTCCATAGTTCCCTTTTGGGTCAGGACCCCATGGTTACAACACCCTGAAATTTCAGATTTAAACAACTGAAAATGGTAAATTTACCAATTTTCAAATCATATGGCTGTGAAAATTACCAGAATGGGTCATGAATTTGGTAGGGCCCTAATAATAGGCTTCTAGTCACATACCATGTCAAGTCCTGGGTTAGTAGGAAACTGAAGATCTAAACAAGAGACAGAATGATATACAGTAACGCCTCACTTAATGTTGTAGTTATGTTCCTGAAAAAATGTGACTTTAAGCAAAATGATGTTAAGCGAATCCAATTTCCCCATAAGAATTAATGTAAATGAGGGGTTTGGTTCCAGGGAATTATTTTTTCCCACCAGACAAAACACTATATTATACACACACTAAGTCTTAAACAAACAATTTAATACTGGTACACAGTGTTGAGGATTATTTCAAGCTGAAGTTGCACGAGCTGTCCGAGGCCTGTATCCCGAGAAAGGGAAAAGGGTTAGTGGGCAGGAGATTTAGACCTAGCTGGATGAGTGGGCGTCTCAAAGGGGCGATTAAGAAAAAACAGAAAGCGTACAGAGAGTGGAAGAAGGGAGAGATCAGCAAGGAAACCTACCTTATTGAGGTTAGAGCATGTAGGGATGCGGTGAGAAAGGCCAAAAGCCGTGTAGAGTTGGACCTCGCGAGGGGAATTAAATCCAATAATAAGAGGTTTTATAGCCATATAAATAGGAAGAAAACAAAGAAAGAGGAAGTGGGACCGCTGAAGAATGTAGATGGAGTGGAAATTAAGAATAATCTAGGCATGGCACAATATCTAAATGAATATTTTGCATCGGTCTTTAATAAGGCTAATGAAGGGTTTAGGAATAGAGGGAGTAGGACGGAGGGGAATATAGGAGGGGGGATTGAAATTACAGTATCAGAGGTGGAAGCCAAACTTGACCAGCTAAACGGGACTAAATCGGGCGGACCGGATGATCTTCATCCTAGAATATTGAAGGAACTGACGCGAGAAATTGCGAGCCCCTTGGCGATAATTTTTAATGAATCTGTAAACTCGGGGGTGGTACCGTTGGACTGGAGAATAGCTAATGTGGTTCCTATTTTCAAGAAGGGGAAAAAAAGTGACCCGGGTAACTACAGGCCTGTTAGTTTAACTTCTGTAGTATGCAAGGTCTTGGAAAAAATTTTGAAGGAGAAAGTAGTTAAGGACCTGGAGGTGAATGGCAATTGGGACAAATTACAACATGGGTTTACGAAAGGCAGGTCGTGCCAAACAAACCTGATCTCCTTCTTTGAGAAAGTAACAGACCTTCTAGATAAAGGAAATGCGGTGGATCTAATATACTTCGATTTTAGTAAAGCGTTTGATACGGTACCGCATGAGGAATTATTGGTTAAATTGGAAAAGATGGGGATCGATAGGAAAATCCAGAGGTGGATAAGGAACTGGTTAAAGGGGAGACTGCAGCGGGTAGTACTGAAAGGGGAACTGTCAGATTGGAGGGAGGTCACCAGTGGGGTTCCTCAAGGTTTGGTTTTGGGTCCGATTTTATTTAATCTATTCATTACTGACCTCGGAACCGAATGTAGGAGTGGGCTGATAAAGTTTGCGGATGACACAAAGTTGGGAGGTATTGTCAACTCGGAGAAGGATCGGGATATTCTGCAGGGAGACTTGGATGACCTTGTAAATTGGAGTAATAATAATAGGATGAGATTTAATAGTGAGAAGTGTAAGGTGATGCATTTAGGGATGACTAACAAGAATTTCAGTTATAAGCTAGGGACGCATAGGTTGGAAGTGACGGAGGAGGAGAAGGACCTCGGAGTCCTGGTTGATCGCAGGATGACTATGAGTCGGCAATGCGACGTGGCTGTGAAAAAAGCTAATGCGATCTTGGGATGCATAAGGCGAGGTATTTCTAGTAGGGACAAGGAGGTGCTGCTTCCGTTATACAAGGCGCTGGTGAGACCTCACTTGGAGTACTGTGTGCAGTTCTGGTCTCCTATGTTTAAAAAGGATGAACTCAAACTGGAACGGGTACAGAGAAGGGCCACTAGAATGATCCGAGGAATGGAAAACCTTTCCTATGAAAGGAGACTCAAGGAGCTTGGTTTGTTTAGCCTAACCAAAAGAAGGCTGAGGGGGGATATGATTGCTCTCTTTAAATATATCAAAGGGATAAATACCAGGGAGGGAGAGGAATTATTTCAGCTCAGTACTAATGTGGACACGAGAACGAATGGATATAAACTGGCCGTGGGGAAATTTAGGCTTGAAATTAGACGAAGGTTTCAAACCGTCAGAGGGGTGAAATTTTGGAACAGCCTTCCGAGGGAAACGGTGGGGGCGAAAGACCTCTCTGGCTTCAAGATTAGGCTAGATAAGTTTATGGAGGGAATGGTTTGAGGGGATAATTTTATTTTAATCAATTAAGGCAATAACGGCCATTGCTGGTAAAATGAGGGTCTGGCTAGAGAATCTTGCCTGTATGCTCAGGGTTCTGCTGATCGCCATATTTGGGGTCGGGAAGGAATTTTCCTCCAGGGTAGATTGGCAGTGGCCCTGGAGGTTTTTCGCCTTCCTCCGCAGCATAGGGCAGGGGTCTCAAGCTGGAAGATTCTCTGCAACTTGAAGTCTTTAGATCACGATCTGGAGACTTCAACAGCAGAGTTAAGGGAAAGTGGGGGGGGTTAGCTTTTGTGGCCTGCATCATGCGGGAGGTCAGACTAGATGACCATATTGGTCCCTTCTGACCTTAAAGTCTATGAGGATTGTGAAGCTTGGTTGAGGTGGAGGAGTCAGAGGGTGGGATATTTCCCAGGGAGTGCCTTACTGCTAAATGATGAGCTAGCAATTGTCTGAGCCCTCAAGGGTTAACTCTCACACTCTACAGGGCACCTGGAATAGAGGGAGGGGAGATAGCACCGCAGCGACAGACACACAAACACACACTGTGTGTTTGTGAGAGAGAGATGCACATTTCCCCTTTAATTACACTGCCTTATTAATTAGATGAGCTTGCTGAGACTGCAGCTGCTGCCAGCAAACTCCCTCCATCCTGAGCCCTGTTGAGTCCCCCCTGCTCTATGGAAGATGGGGTAAGCAGGGTGTAGGAGGACACTGACATTACCCCCCCCTTCCTCCTCCTCCTCCCCCCCCACCACACAGCAAGCAGGAGTCTCAGGGAGCAGCTCCAAGGCAGAGGGCAGGAGCAGCACATGGTAGTGGGGGGAGGGACAGCTACAATTGCTAGCCTGCTGGGCAGCTGCTGCACAGGGAACTTAAGGGAGTGGGGAGCTGATGGGGGTGGGGGCTGCCCATCCACCCTGGTTCCAAGCCCCCACCAGCTAGCTGCAACAGGCTGCTCTTCCTGCAAGTAGTTGCTAAACAACATTAGAAGGGAGCATTGCTCATTTAAAATTGTGCATGTTCCTTCATTGATCAGCAACGTTAACTGGGATGACTAAGTGAGGAGTTACTGTACCTGATTCAGGTGTATCTATGCCACTATTCAAAGAATGGGAGGTATGGAAGTGGTCAGTGTGTATAATGCTATTTACACTGATGTGTAGAAGACCAGTTTTGTTAGCTTTAGAGGGTCTTGCTGCTTTAGTTGAGTTTTGTTCTGACCCAAGTGGAGCTGCAAGCTGTTGGAATTTTTACATGTACTTGCATAAGCCAGCAGCATGGGAATACTTGCTGTCTAGTAAAACTAGAACATGGACTATGGTCAGTTATTTTCACAGGGGTCTATTAGATTTCAGGGACTAGATACTGTATTAAGCAGGGTTCTGGGAACATCTAGCTCTTAAGTACTGTGGAACTTAAAATGGAGGGGCTTCCCTACTGGAGTTTAAAACTCAATCCATATCCTCAAACAATCATATGCAAAGAGCTGTCTAAGGACAGTGATTGCTAAGCAAGCATGATTGCTTTAGCTAGGACAGCATTGGCAGCCCTGTTGAAATATTGTTCTGCCAATAGTCACTCTGTGTAAAGCAGCTGTAGTCAGACAATTGCTCTCAAAGCCTATGTTACTCCACCACCACAGAGGTCAGTATTAGACAGTAAACCTTCCTTTGGCAAAGAATAAACCAAGATTAGACAATCCCCACTATGTGCTCAGAAATATTTCATTTAATAGCCGCAGTCACTAACTGCAGATTAGTTACAAGCATATTCCTAGTAAAGCTGTATCTCAAAGTGATTGAAGCTTGCAGAATTGGACAGTAGTGTCATGCAGCAACAGTCATTGAACAGATTCTTAACAGCAAGTTCTGATCCAACAGGGAGATGGGAATTCCTCAGGCTCTCTCATAGACTCTAGTGCTGGTGACCTTGTTCATGGTGCATTCCTAGAAGGCAAAATTATTAATTCAATTTCTGAACTATTACAGCAGAGTTCTAGGAGTTTAAGTGAACAAGGATATCTGTCATATCAGAGTCCAAGGTGTTTATTTAGTATTTGTCACTCTGATATTTAATGTTGCATAAGAGTAAAGCATTTCTTGCCTCCTGGAACAGGTTACAGAGTGATCATAATATCAGCTTATCAGCCAGCACTAGTATACTGGAACTGCAGGCTGCATGTCTGCCTCTAACTTTCTGTCCAGCACTCAGATTGGTGTTTAGTACAAGAATACAAACTCTTGGGTTTTTGTCTCTTTAGTGGTTCTCCACTAGTTTTGTTTGAAGTGGAACTTTCCTTCTTTGTATGTTATGGGTTGGGCTAAACCTTGTTTAAAACGGTGGGTATAACAGTCCCCCTTCATTTGTGATAAGTGTAAGAAATAATTAAGTGCCGTTTTAGAACCAGATAGCTGAAACACGAGGAGCCTCCACCCAAACACAGGTATAATCATCACCTAAGATGAGAGGTATATGTTGCACAGTCCAGGTTCTTGTTTGGTGGAGGTTTGCATCTCTGTGCATGAAGAGATGCAGAAGTGGCAAAGAAGCAGAGAGTCAAGGATACAGCCAGAACCTTAGAACCTAGCCTGGAGAACCTCAAGAGACTGAATACTTTTGGGCTAAGTAGAGAGGGGCTTGGAACTGTGAGCAAAAATGCTGTCTGTTCAGGGAAACAGGACTTTGTGCACTGTAAATACTTGATGTCAAATCAACTCTTCCTCCTAAGCAAAGACAAACTAGGCCAAGTTTTGCCCATCTGCTCAGGCAAGAGAGGGGTAACCATATTTCTGTACTTCACTTTCTTACATGCACCAGCAGCTCTTAATGAGCATTTCTATTTCAGCTAGAGTATTTAGTGCTCAGATGAGGGTTTAAAAAAAAAAAAAAATTGAACTCACCACCACAAGCTTACTATCCACCAGTTTTCTCTTTATTGTCGTCTCTTTGCCATCCCACTTCTGCACGTGAATTAAAGCACCATTGTCCAAGGTGATAATGCTCTGCCAAGACAAAAGAAGCAGAGGGACTCTGGGTCAGACAGTCACAGCACACAGAAGATTTGCCTCTTCAATCATTTAAACAAATCCCATGTTCACAGCAGATATTCAAGCTGGCTTTCAGGAAGCTTCCTGGGAAGACCCAGGTTTCAGACTCTTCTTTACCACTGCTTGCACAGCTCCTGAGAAGGCACAGATCCCATTGTACTGTAGCTGTGAGCCCTGACTAGCATGGGATACATGTGCCACCACAATACATCCATTTTGTCAGCCCCTCTTCCCCCTGCTGGAAGAAAAGGTGTCAGGAGACACAGGTGGAGAGTGGAGTTGGGCAGGGGTGAAAGTAACTTAAGTGTACTGGTAAGTCCTTGAGTCCTGAGCAGGGGTCAGGGCCTCAACAGGAAGGGGTGTGGCCTTTAGAGCCCCATGCCCTTAAAAACAAAAAAACAAAAACAAAAAGCCAAGATTTAGCAAGTGGCAGTGGTGGCTGGGAGCCCTGGGCCCTTTAAATCACTGCCAGAGCTACCAGCTGCGGAGGTGGCTGGGGGCCATTTAAAGGGTCCGGGGCTCCTACTACCACAGTCAGGGCCATCCCTAGCTATTTTGGTGCCCTCCGCAGGTGGGCTGTGTGGGGGAGGGGGGCTGGTCACTTCCTGTGGGAAGTGGAGCGACCCAGCCCCAGCCTGCTCCGCTCCCCTAGCTCCCAGCTGCGCCACCAGCGAGTGCTGGGGGGTGGTTCCCCCTTCCCCCAAGCCAGCGGAGTAGAGCAGGATAGGGCTGGGTCACTCCACTTACTGCAGGAAGTGGCCAGCCCTGCCCTGGTCAGCCTGGGGCTAGTCCCCCACGGAGGCCTGGGGCCCCGGCCTGCTCTACTCCCCTGGCTCCCAGGCTTGGGGGGAGGGGGGAACCGCCCCCAGCACTCGCCAGTGGCACAGCTGGGAGCCAGGGGAGCGGAGCAGGCTGGGGCTGGGTCACTCCACTTATGTGGTGAGTGCAGGATCGGGCCTGGCTGCAATCTTCAGGGGAGTGGGAGCAGGGCTGGGGTGGGGTAGAGCAGGGGCAGGGCGGGAAGAGCCGGAGCAGGGGCGGGGGCAGCACACAGCTGCGCAGGGCACCAGGAAATTTGGTGCCCCGAATTTCCTGGTGCCCTACGCAGCTGCCTACTTCGCCTATGGGTAAAGACGGCCCTGACCGCAGTGGAGCCCCAGGCCCTTTAAATCGCAGCCTGAGCCCCGCTGTCGGAGCCCGAGGGTAGCAGCGGCGGCCAAGGGCTCTGACGGCGATTTAAAGAGCCTGGGGCTCCCGGCCGACACTACCACAGCAGAGCCCCTGGCCCTTTAAATTGGCCACGGATCCCCAGGGGCTCCCAGCTGCTGCTACCTCGGGGCTCTGGTGGAGATTTAAAGGGCCCACAGCTCCACTGCAGTAGCTGGGAGCCCCTGGCCCTTTAAATCGCTGCCCGAGCCCTGGGGTAGTAGCGGCGGGGCTCCGGTGGTGATTTAATGGGCCAGGAGCTCCCAGCCGCCGCTACCGCGGCAGAGCCCCAGGGGTCCCGGCCACTTCTGCTACCTGGGGGCTCCGGCAGCAGGGCTGGTGCAGCAATTTAAAGGGCCCCGGGATCTAGCCGCTGCTGAGAGCCCCAGGCCCTTTAAATTGCCACCTGGGGAAGCCGGTCCGGTACTGCGTGCCAACTCTTGCTGGTATTATGTACCAGCTTACTTTCACCTCTGGAGTTGGGGCTAGTCCCAACTACCTTGTGTTATCACTTGTGATTTGATGTAGTGCCCCATGAAATAATGCATTACATGGATGCATAGGGGCACCATCTGCTTTGGCCCACCACATAAGCTCCTCCAGTAGGCGCAGCTGCATAAGAAAGCATGGCAAGGAAGGGGAGTAGAAATTCTAGTCTTATCTAAAGGGAGAAAAGCCCTATTCCATCCTGACCAATGAGAGAGTGATTCGACATAGTAGAAGGTGCCACTGCCAAGACTACATAACCCTCCCCTCACCCCAGATGCACTTGTCTTCTTGAGTAATTTTCTGGGCCTCAGGCACCTTGAATTCAGTGAAAAAATCCTGCTATTGAAGTTTTGCAGCTAGTCCCAAGGCCTGGTCCACACTAACCCCCACTTCGAACTAAGATACACAACTTCAGCTACGTTAATAATGTAGCTGAAGTCAAAGTACCTTAGTTCGAACTTACTACGGGTCCAGACGCGGCAGGCAGGCTCCCCTGTCGACTCCGCGTACTCCTCTCGTGGAGCAGGAGTACCAGCGTTGACGGCGAGCACTTCCGGGATCGATTTATCGCATCCTGTCTAGACGCGATAAATCGATCCCAGAAGATCAATTTCTTACCGCCAGACCCGGAGAGAAACTCCTATTCGACACCATGCAGCAGATAAGGAGCATTTACTGGTCAGCCTTTAGAGGGGAGAGCTGGGCTTGTGCCCATTTTCTGCTTTATAGTGTATGAAGGAGGGCTAGATATGGTCAGTTTTTTGTTGTGTTTTTAGTTGAGTGTTAGCAATTCCAGTCTTTTCTACCCAAAAAGGCTAGGGCAACTTAAGTAGTCAAATTACTACACCTCTACCCCGATATAATGCAACCCAATATAACAGGTTTGCATATAGTGCGGTAACCCCGGGGCTCGGGCAGCGCTTTAAAGGGCCCGGTGCTCCGGGGAGCCCCGGGCTCTTTAAATCACCGCTGCAGCTCTGCTGCCACTACCCCGATATAACAGGGTAGCACCAATAACACGTTAGGGATTTTTGGCTCCTGAGGACCGCGTTATATCAGGGTAGAGGTGTACTTTAACAAACATTGAAAGCCAAGCCATATATAGAAGGGATTTTTTAGAGTAAGCATTTTATTTACCATCTGTTAGTTCCAGTGACTAGTGAACACTTCAGAGAAAGGAAGTTGTTGGACCTTATCGTGGGAGCACAATGGGCATGAGGATTGCCCCAAAGCCAACCAGAAGTGCCGAGCATGAGCTCCCCAGTTCTTATGAGGCAGGGGCAGAAGGGAACCATGTCTAAAGAAAGTCCTCATGAAGCAAGAAAGGGCACAAACCCAAAAGTCCTTTGCAGGTCACCTTTAAAGATTAGCCCTCACCTTGGTTTTCCTGTCATCCGCTGTGGTTTCCTCAAACTCTTCCCCCAGCTTGAAGGAGATCTCCGTGTTTTTAAAGGTGCTCTCTGTCTTGATGGTTATTATGTCATCATTGGTGCTGATCACCACACTAGGCTTGGCCAGGCTGCCAAGCTTCCTAGTAGCAAAACCCACTCCTTGAAAAGAAAGGTACAAGTTACCAACTTGGATTTTACATACACCTCCAGGAGAGAGAGCTTGGTAAATAGGTCTGTGGATGTACTAGAAGTCATGGCGCTCTCGGTCATGTAGACGCTGCAGTTCTAATAGAAGTACAAAAAAAGAGACCATCAGATACTATATAGACCTTTTCCCTCTGTATGTTGTAAGACGGTGCCATTTTAATAGTCACCTTTGAAGTTGAAACAGTAAATTGAGTTGTACTAGCATGCTCTAGGAGACAACTAAATACAAGCAATAGATGTGGAGTTTAAATCTTAATCCAAGCTTTCCTAAATAATAGAGGTGTTTGTTTGGCTACATACCTAGTATCAGCCATTCAAGTAATTACATTAGAGCCCTCATAACATTTCCTGCTTATGAGTGATAATTTGTTTGTGGATTCACAATCAATAGTTAAGAATACAATAACAGTAAACAGCTCCATACAGATACAAGATAGCTCTTCCTTCTTAGAGGAGGGAAGATTAGCAAATTGACTATTCATTAGGAAAGATTTGTAATATATAATGAAAGTGTTCTACCACCCCAAATTCAAACATATCAATACTATAGAGCCATTCCACTCGGTTACCAGAGTGAATCATTCATAAATAGAAGGAAAAAAAAACCCCAAATGCACTCTCAATATCTTCTATTTTAAGAAAAAAAAAAAAAAAAAACCCTGCTTAACTTTTAATATAGTCCTTACCCAATTCTTTCATATAGCTCTCAAAGTTTTCACTAGAAATGAGTTTCCAGCTTCCTAAAAATGGCTCACACATGATGTAAAATATAACTGGAAAAATTACTAAGCAAAGAAGAAAGTAGTCCCTTTCTAAGATCAAAAACTGCTATGAAATATAGGTGCTCAGGCACTTCATTTTAAAGATGCCCTAAACATGTGATACTCAGGGACAACCAATCAGGAGAGGCAATGTAAGGACTCCAATCACTTTCACTGTTATTTCATTTAGCACAAAAGGGCAATTAATAAAGGTCACTAATCCCAAATTAATCTGCTATTCAAAACTGAGTGTTTTCAATGGAGAAACATAGTAAATATGAAAAATCAGCCTTCCCCAATTAGAGAGGGATCAGCTGTAAAGAGACCTGTCAGTTTGTGTAGCTTCAAAGAGTCCCTTCCTGATTTGCCTGTCAGGCCCTACACAAGGCTTGATTACTGCCTGTGGTGATGTTTCCTGGCTCCTAGCAAGTTCTGACCTTCCCCCTAAACTGAGCAAGTTCTGATTGCTCTCAAACCTGGCTCCACCAACATCTTATCTCCTCCCCTAAGTACAGTGCTCAAATTGGGGGACGGGGAGTGGTGATGTACTTCAACTTTTTGTCAACTTCCCCCCCTGCTCCCACCAGCTGCAGTGCAGAGGGCTGCTCTGCCATGACCACAAAAGTCCCTCAATACCAGTGCTTCGATATTGTGATGCCAACTTTTCCCAACCTAGCACTAAAAAATTCCCAAATCTGGTGAAAAATTCCCAGATAAAGTTTTTTACAGTGCTTCTATATCCTGGGCAATTTCCCAAAATCTGGGAATTTGTGAGTAAAATGTTTTGAATGAAAATTCCCAATTTCCCAGGTTGAAACATTTTACTCACAAATTCCCAAGTTTGGGGAAATTTCCCAGGATATAGAAGCACTGCTCAATACCCACATCAGTTAAGAATCCTCCCAATTTATCATTCCATCTGCGATACCGAACCCCCACTAATCATTATGTGCCACAGAGCTCCTGACAGTCCTGATTTGGCTTCTAGGTCTGTTGGCTCAGCTGTTGCTGGGAGGGAAGGGAGGCAGTTCAACTAGAACCCGAGGATTGTTTGTTTCTTTAAAATACAATATTATATGCAAGGTATCATGGAGACTTTAGGAATATAATCCACTGTTTTTTAAATTCCACTTACTTTATGGGGGCTTAAATAGTTGACCCTGTCCCTTTAAGATAGATGCAACTCTTGTTTTGGACGGCTAATTTCTTTTCAAATGATCCCCTATAGTGTCAGGTGAAAGCTAAGATCATTATCCTGCAAATATGTACTTAACTTTAGAAACACTGAAGCCAAAGGGAACATTTAAGCACATGCATAAGTACTTGCAGAACCAGGGCTTGAGTTTGTGGATTCTTTCTTCCCTTATGGTTTTTACCGTAAGCACCTTGAGTTTAACTTTGTTACAAAAATGAAATACTGGTAATTAGGGGGCCTGACATAATTTTCTCCCATTGATCAGCTCCCAAGTATCACATGTCCAGGAAATCTTTAAAAATAAGCGGGGGGGCTATGATATATTGCTGGTTGGTTTCTTGCTGAAAGTTTGGGGGGGTTTCCCCTCTAAGGATTATTGTCTAGTAAATCCCTACAGAATGTGTGATCAGTTCTTAGGAACCTGGAAACTTGTCTCCAGTGAAAAATTTGAAGATTATATGAAAGAATTAGGTGAGAAATACTGTTTTCTTAATGAATAATCTTGTGATGCTTTTTCTCTTCAGATAAACTGTAGTGGGTCTGGAGTTTACCCTTGTAACTTAACCAAAAAACACCAAACTTATACTGATTTTCAGGGGCTGCCAGTTAATTGTACTCAAGGGTGTTCCTATTTCTTGATACTGCATTTCCTAGAGTATGTAGTTTGTGTAGGGATCAAATACATACAGGTGCTATCTTGTAGAGTGCCAAGGTATACAACATAGTTATTTAATTAGTTCTCATCAATATCCCTGTTCAGTCTGAAAATGACAATATGCTACGTATAGTCTTAAATTGCCACACTGGGTGGGGAGGAGGTAAAAAGGCATTGTAGAGATATAGTATTTATTGGAGATATCCCATCTCCTAGAACTGGAAGGGACCTTGAAAGGTCATTGAGTCCAGCCCCCTGCCTTTACTAGCAGGACCAAGTACTGATTTTGCCCCAGATCCCTAAGTGGCCCCCTCAAGGATTGAACTTACAACCCTGGGTTTAACAGGCCAATACTGAAACCACTGAGCTATCCCTCCCCAAGTGTAAAGATCTTAAAGTGTAAAGTATTATAATAAATAATAATAATAAATACACTAGAGTAAATTCCATGCTCCATTGGTGAACCTGTATTCAAATCAGTTACACAGGTGTCACTGAGGCAACCTATCCAGTGGCTTATATGGGGAGTCATAAATGAAGCAGAACACATCTAAATAGGTGAGATGGAAAGGGGCAAGATTGTAGACTGGCTTGAATAATAATCCTGCTATTTAGCTAGACTTGTAGACACAAAACAAAAAAGCGTGTATGCATAAAGGCATACAACTAAAGGTAAAATGGCAGCTGCCATGATGTAGTAAAATACAATGATAATGAATACTGGGCTCTTGTATAGTAACTTTCACTGATAGATCTTAAAGTGCTTTACAAAGGACACCAGTATCATTATCCCCATTTTATAGATGAGAAACTGAGGCACAGAGAGGTTAAGTGACTTGCCCAAGGTCACCCAGAAGCCCAGTGGAAGAGCTGGGAAAAGCTGGGGAAAGAACCCAGGTCTCCTGAGTCCTCATCTAGTGGTAAATCCACTAGAGAACACCACCTCCCATAACTGTGCGCCTCTGATTCTCTCCTCTACCTGCTCCTTCAGTGTTTGGTTTGACATGGGAGATGGGGAAACCTCTTGACTCCCCAAAATGTGTGTATTCCTCACATCTTTAATAAAGTTACCTGGAAATATTTTATCAAAAGGAAAATTTCTCTCTGAAGTAAGAGATGATCAGCTAAGGATCCTTTAAGCCTGCTGACTATCTGGTGGGTGGGGGGAAATACACATCTATACTTATGATGCCTTTTCGGGGGGACAGGGTGTTTATCTGTGCATGTCCTCCTAATTGTCCCACTCTCTGTTTCCAGGCCACCCTTTGTGCTCTCTCCTTCTTTGCCAGACAGAACTGCTGTCTTTCCTTTGTTTTCAGATCAGAGTGAAATCTTAGATGGTATCTTGTGTGTCTTCTTCAGGAGTGGGCTTTGCCATGAGGAAACTGGGCAGCCTGGCAAAGCCTACTGTCCTCATCAGTGCTGAGGAGGATATGCTAACAATCAAAACAGAGAGCCCTGTTAAAAATACAGAGATCTCCTTCAAGCTGGGCCAAGAATTTGAGGAAACCACAACAGATAACAGGAAAACTAAAGTAAGGGGTTGGGGCGGGGGGAGTGCTTGGTGTTACTGATCAGCTTGTGATGTGTGGATTTTCTTGTTCTCTTTGGGCGGAGGGAGGGGATAGGATAATCTACTTGAAAGCACTACAGTCTGAAAACCATCAGATACAGCTGTACCATGGATCTGGAATTTTGATTAAGACACAGAGCTGAGAACATGGTATGGTACATGGGGTAAATAGCCCCTTTAACTTGCAAGATGCTGGCAAAATCGCTCACCTTGCTTTTATGTCTTTCCAGAGTGTTGTAACGTTGGACAATGGCTCAATGATTCATGTGCAGAAATGGGATGACAAAGAGACCACAATAAAGAGAGAGGTGGTGGATGGGAAGATGGTCGTGGTAAGTGAGACAGTTCCTGCTATCTGACCAATGAACACTGCTCTTCACAGATAGCTGAATCCCCATGTTAATCTCTTTATTTTGGATAATGTGGACCAGTGTTTTTATTAACAAGTGAAAACCCCTCATGTTGTATCTTTGAACAGTGTTGGAAATTGTTTTAGCCACTTCTAAGTACTGCTGAAAGACCATTGCTGTACAATAACTTCTTCTAAACTTTTGAGACCAATGGATTACTAACGTAATTCAGTGCTAAAGGTGGTGACTTAGATTGCAGTCTATTTGAATGCTCTCTACCTTCAGGTGCATGCTAGACTTGCAGAACAGCTTTGTTGAGACATTTCTATTTTGTCTTGCTATTGTAATTTCATTGAACTCCTCTTTATCCTTCTAGGAATGTACCATGAAGTATGCCATCTGCACTAGAGTCTACGAGAAAGTATGAAGAAACTATCTGCAGTTAACTGTAACTTGCTGCTGGGAACTGGCTCAGTTCCACAAGATAAAGGCTACTGTTTTCCTTCTGTTTGCAAAAATTTTGAATAGTCATGTGCCCGCAATGTATCATACTTCAGTTTAGTTACTACTTGTTTGAACTGGGGCGAGTGAATAAAATATTTCCAGACTAATGTCCTAGAGTATTTGTGTGGTAGTGATGCCTGATCCCTTGGAAAGATCTGCTTATACTGCAAATAGGCCACAGCCTGGGCTTCTCCCATCTCAGTATCCTAGAGCCCAGGGCAGCCTGAGACCAAATGTCTACACTGCAATTAAACAGTCCCTTAGCCCCAACCCACATCAGCTGGCACAAGCCACCCACAGGCGTCTAAGTGGGGAAAAGATATACCTGAAGTGGCCTACTTGACCTTGATTAGGGCAGGAGTGCCCCAAAAAGCCAAACCCTCAGCACAAGATTGGCTTCTTCCCATTCTGGGGATTAACAAAAAGAAATGGGGATCGTGTAATTGAGGGACAGACCCAAAAATGCATGGATGATAGTCAAAGGAATATGGTAGAGGGAACACCAAGTGGGAAAACCCCACTGCTTCAAGAAGAATGCTAGGAAATGAGAGGTCTAGAATACCCCCATGGAAGTCTGTCCAGGTAGGAGAAGGAATATAGTTACAGAGCTTCCTGCGGAGGTCTTGGAAACAAACGAACGTCCTAAACTATTATTAAAAAATCACTTATCTCCTCTTTTCTGGATCTTTGTTACTGATGTCTCCTTCTCCTGAGATGAACG